AGCATCTTCGAACCTTACGAATTGAGTTTGAAAGAGGAGTACTGCTCAAGCTTCAACTCCTCTCCTTTCCTCAGTTCTTGTTAGTACCCTTTCATGAATGGGAAGAGGAAGTATTTTAAAAGTCTTTCTTTTTCTTACAAATGCCAATGCTGGTAAACTTTTTTTTTAGAAACTGGTAAGGTTGTATTCTTCAGCATTAAGGGCATACTGACCACCACCAAAAAGTGTCAATTACAAACTTCCTAACAAATCTACAATCTGATTTGTATCTACTATGCACAACTGTTTACACCAAAAAAGTAGAGATACTATACAACTCCATTTGACCTTGTGTATGGAATTGGATCTATTTTCGAAGCATCTACTATTCCTTTCCTTCCAAACTGACCACCATATACATGATGATTAGCCTCCACCATCTCTTCTGACTCTTGGTGCCTCCTCTTCTTACCCAGCTCTTCAACACGTTTGATGTACGTTTTGGCATTGTCCAATTCAGATTTGAAATGCCAAGGAACAAATTCCAGATTTGAGTAGTGTAATTACAATGCAAGAAAAGGTGGCTGTTAGTTTCACTTGTCAAATTGCATAAAAAACACCTAGGGACCAGCTGTCTACCCTTCTTATGAAGGAAGTAGTACTTCCTGTGTTAAACAAGCTCTCTTTATCACTACCGAGTGAAGCATTTCACTTTTGTAGGAATATCCCCCTTCCAAAAATAGTTCCAGAGGTGCCCCCAAGGCCTAGCTCAAGTGGCAAAAGGTGGAGGATTTGTGGCTTAGGTCGCAGGTTCAAGCTCCACACCATGCAAAGTGAAGCCTGGTATTTAAGTGGAGAAGGGTAGAGGGGCGGGCCCATTATCCACCGAGTTTAGAAGGCTATGATTGGTCCAAAGGGCGGGTCACAGACGAATTTCTCGGTTATCAAAAAAAAAAAAAATAGTTCCAGAGGTGTTTTGGTCTCCCTGCCTCTGTAAGCACTGTTGACTGAGAAAAGGCCATCTTTGTTGTGCTTCCACAACATCCTGTCTGTGGCATTTGCGTTTATGATCATTCCACCTAGCATCCCTAATATCTCAGCCACCCATTCCACCTCCCAATCATTGAGAAGTCTTCTAAAAACTAGATCCCAACCCTGTTCAGTCCATTGGCATCAGGATTTTCACAAATTTGAAAAAGATCTGGAAAGAGATCCCTAAGAGGGGATTGAAATTCCAAACATCCTTCCAAAATTTTGTTTTAGTGCCACTTCCCACCTTGATATATAAATTTGTCTCCATTTGTGGCCACAAGCTTCTAATTGATCTCCATGCACCCACACCATAAGGTTTTGTTGTGTTCTCTGTACGCCAAGGGTTTAACTCACCATATTTAGCTACAATCACCTCTCTTCAGTGTACCTCCACAACCACTTCTTCAATAGGCTCTCATTTTGTAGTTTCAAGTTCTTAATTCCCAGCCCCCCTCTCTTTGCTAAGTAGAGCAGGTTTCTAGTTTACTAAGCTATAGCCTTTTCAATCCTCGTTGCCTTACCATAGGAATTTTCTCCTTAGCTTATCCAGATTTTCCACTACTTTTCCTGGGATTGGGAATAGAGACATCACATAAGTGGGCAGAGAATCAAGAACAGAGTTTACGAGGATCAATCTTCCTCCAAGTGACAGATATTGAGCCTTCCATCCAGAAAGCTTCTTTTCAGTTTTCTCCCAAATACCATCCCATATTTCCAAGGCTTTGTAATTGTTACCCAATGGCATGCCTAGATAGGTGGTAGGAAGCTTCCCAACACTACACCCTAGTATGCCCGTCATCTCCTTTATCTGAGGTACCTCATTCACAGGGAAGAGACTACTTTTTCCCCAGTTTACTTTCAATCCTGAGACAGCTTCAAAAAGTACCAATATCACTATAATGTAGCTTATCTGTTCTTCTACAGGATCACAGAGGATGATGGTATCATCTGCGTAGAGCATATGACCAATTTCTCTTTCTTCCCCCCCTCTGCCTCCCACTTTGAAGCCTTTGATCCATCTATTTTGTGTAGCAATCCTCAGCATAACATTAAATCCCTCCATTGCTAGGATGAACAGGAAAGGGGAGAGAGGATCACCCTGTCTCAGCCCCTTTTTTGATTCAAAAAAACCCACAGGTTCTCCATTCACAGGCACAGAGAACTTGACAGTTTTAATGCATGTCTCAATCCACTTCAACCAATGCTGGTAAACTATCCCTTTAGTTTTATAGAATCTAGCTGGACTAGGCTATCCTTTATACCTACCCAGCCTTTAATCAAAGGCTAGTCATCATTAGCTCATTGGTTTGCTTTCTGATAGCATTCTCTAGGCTAAGAAATTCAATGACTCATTCTGGAGTTTTTCTATTTGTTCCCCTTTGTAAAGCAATCAAAAAGAGACCAAAACTACGTGAAAAAAGGTTTCATAAGCAAACAATATTGTGGAAATCAAGGGAGAGAGCCATTTTAGAAAAGATACACTAGTTTCCGATCCCCCCGAGCTTATGGGTCAACCTCCTGATGAGATGTGAATAGACCACTATTCCTGATATCATAAACTACTCTGTGAGGCAAAAATGTTTTGATATCATTGAAAAAGCAGTTTCCATGTGCGTCAAACACATCTCTGATTTTGGAGAAATAACTAGCAAAGGAGTTGGCCTGGTCAATAAGAGGGAGCCATACTTTGGACTGCTTTTTCAAAAGAAGCTATCTGGAAGCCCCTATGGTTCGCTTTTACAAGACCACCTAAATACATGCATTATATGTGTATTTCATGTTTAATTATTACAAAATTTGTACTGCTACACTACTAACAGATTAACATTTTATATAAATATTAGCATTACAAAGAAGAATTGTAATACCAAGCTGTATAGTAGATTAACATATAGTATAAGTTATTCGTTTAAACAATTAGCACTTATGGAATCGTATTGTAATTTATTATTGGCTTATTTTGGCATTAATAAATTGACATCAATCAATTGATATCATATCACAAATGCATTATTTATTTGTAATTGGTCACTAAGGAATTGTTATGCCACCAAACTAAGAAAGAATCGTAAAAATTAGTGGAAACTACCTACATTAGGGTAGTTTGTCAATATCACACGCCTTGGGTGCGATCCTACTCCGGACCCTGTAAACGTGGGATGTTTTGTGCATTGGGTTGCTCTTTTTCATAATTGTATTGTCAAAAGTCCTAAACATAAGGTTGCTTTCCATTTATAAGTACAATTTCATTCAACACATAATTATTTTTAAAAGGTAAAGTCTTATTCGCTTTTAAATTTCTAAATATTAAAATTTTCTATAATATTTCAAGGATTTAATACATAGAATTTAGTTAATTTTTTAAAATTCTAAATACTAAAAAAATAATAAAATGACTATTCTGACAAGAGTGAATTCTATTTTAAAAAGGTAAAAATGTGAACAACATTTTTCTGTGGGACTACATACTTTAAATTTAGTAATAACTTAATCTTAACCTTTTCAGTTTACCTTTCTGAGATGATCTCAAACTTTTCTCTTAATCTGTGTCTAGTCAAACACCCACATAAATTGTAACGGAAGAAATAGTATAGATTTCACTAAAGAGAGTGTCACAAAAACACTCAATTAATTGAAACAACTTAAAGTATGTTATGTTTCTATATTTTCTTTTCTTTTCTCGATTATACAATTGAAAAGAGAAGAAGTAGAAGAAAGAAATCAACATTTAATGCAAAATGAAGCTACACTCTTTAATTTATTTTCTAGTACCGTGAGTTGATAAATTGTGATAGATAATTAGTTAGTTTAATAAAGAAAAGATTACTATAAGTTAACAAAATCGCAATCGATTTTAAAGTCCAAATGTTAGAACTTTCTAATATAGTTAAAACAAGGAAAGATTTAAGAAGCAAAATTTTAGTCAATTTTAAAGTACTAAATATTAGGAGTTCTTACCTCACACAAATGAGTAAAAATTAAATAGTTGTAACTATAATTAATTCCAAGTTCCTAAATTTAAGCTTTACTGAAACTTGGCAAAGATGGTGTTTTTCCAGTAAAGTCTGCTTATCATACATTGAGTAATTTGTATCAGCAAATACTAGTGGCCCAGGAGATATATTTGGAAGGCCAAGATTCCCACAATAGTGTTGAGCTTTTCCTGGTTAGTGGCAAGAGAAGCTTGCCTGACACAAGAGAATCTGAGGAGAAGGGTATTCCAATTAAACTATAGATATCCTTTTTGTGGTTTAGAAACAGAATCCAATAACCATCTGTTTCTTCATTGTTTTGTCACTGGTCTTCTGTGCCAACTTTTTCTTAACATTGTGGAACTCTAATAGTGTATGCCTTCCAACACAAGAGATCTGCTAAGGAGTTGGAATTGCAACGGGGTGTAGTCAGACAGAAGAAATGGTGAAGATTGGTTCCTGCTTGTATATGGTGGACAGTTTGGAAAGAAAGAAATTTAAGAATTTTTGAAGGAAGAAGTAGCTCTTAACAGAATTTAAAGATGAAGTGCTTTCCTCTTTTTCATTTTTGATGTAACGTTTTGTAGAGGAGGTAGTATCATATCCTCAGTAGATCTGATAGGTGCTCTATAACTGTTAGGATTTCATTGTTGGATCTGCTGTCCTTTCTCTCTGTATATATGGTTTTGGCACTATCCTAGTGCTTTTTTCTTTAATACTCAAGTGACCATTCTCAAAAACAAAACAAAAGAATACAAGGTAAAAAAAAATAGGATCTCTGGACACAAATCCAAAATCCAATATGTATTTCGAAAATCCAAAGAACTCAGATTTTGGTTTTGCTCAAACTCTTTCCAGCCCTACTCAATACCTACATGGCAGCATGTATGTATATCACACAAGCCATGAACATTACTTCTTATACATAATCAAGAGCTCTAATCATCTGTAGATACTGATAGCTAGATAAACCAATTTAAATGAGAACATAATAGCAAGAACGATAGGATAGCTAACCTGGACAAGCTTTTTGCACATGCTGAAACTCAAGCCCTCCATCACATCCTTGAAGTTATGCCTTTTTACACCAAAGTGAATGGTGGAGATTGAGCTATCTGATTGAGAGCCTTCAAGACAAACCTCATTATTAAATTTTATGGTCACATATTCAGCTGTCATCCATGGTCTTCTTGTTCCCCAAACTGCCATTCCCACCATCAGCTCCAATATCTAAAACCACTTCAAATATAACAGAGCCCTTTCTGATGCTGACATAGAATAAATGTCCTCCCATATGTAACAAAACCTCAAATGTTCTCTTCTCATCACTCATCACCTGATAAGGCAAAGAAGTAGGAACATCTGTAGAAAATCCAAAGCCCTTATAGATGCACAACCACTTAACAAAACAAGAAGTCTACCTGCCCAGTAAATGCAACTAAAGGGCCTCATTTCTACTAGAAACCTTCCATCATCTTTGGCAGAAATCTCCATCTGCATCATTCATTAATGTGTGAAGAGAACAGTACTTTTTCTTTTTTTTTCTCAAAAAAGAACAGTACTTTTTTTCACTTTTCACCATTGTGTAAACATAATCTTCTGGTCAAAGCTTGCTTTCTCATCTTGAAATATGGAGAGCAAACCCAAAATTGAGTGCATCGGTCGCCTCATTACATTGTTCATCACCTTCTGAAACGAAGTCCTTGTCTGTCTTGCCTTCATACATTCTATTTAGTCTTTAGACTGCTGCAGCACACAATGTCTCATTTCTAGTTTCTCCCTCATTGTCTGGAACTCTTCAAGAACAGTGGCATGGGACAAAACCACAGACACCTGATCAGAAACTACTTCCACTATCTCCATCTCATCATAGCTCAAGAATCTATCATCAGCACTTGAAAGAACCAATCCTAATCGTAATTTTCAGAACTTTGGGATGATCCGGAACTCCCGATTATCCAATATAAACCTAGATCCATTGTTTTATCTTTCTCCACTTAAATACTAGGCTTAATTTGCTTGGTATAGGGCTCAAACCCGTGACCGATGTGATTGAAATATTTATATATCACTATGATTCATGGATTAGCTTTCAATTACTATAATTTAATAGGCATTTGGCCATAGGTTCAAATATTTTTCACTTCATTTGGAATTTATGAAGTTAGAGTTGAAGATGGTTATGTTTGGTTATACTTTTTGCAAAGGAGAGAAGAGAGCACTATTTTGGAATTTATGAAGATGGAGTTGGAAAATAGGTTTGAAGCACTTTTCCAGAATTGGAAACCAACTCCAAGTTGGATTTGGAAATTTTAATTCTTAATAATATAGTAATACAAATTATTATTTTTTGATAAAAGTAACAGTTAGTCTATATTTATCCACAGGTATACTACCTCAAAAGTGTAGTTCCCCTCCAAAAGTGTTGTAGTTACATAGGCTCCTATACCTACCAAGTTACAGCCAGTCTATAGTTGTGCTGATTACTTCTGAGCTATCTAAGACTACTTGTTTACACCAAAAATAATACAGAGCTAAACAGTTAAGCTTAAATCTTTGTATGTTGCTCTGCTTTCCTTCATGACATCTCTGGTTCCTCTCTAGCCATACTGTCCACCATATACATGATGGGACCATCTTCCATCTCTCCTCCTTTCTTCCTGCATTTCCATCTCTATTCCAGCACTTCAA